AGTACATAGCAACCTTTTTTGAGTGAATTAAAATACAACTGTACTACCTTATTATATATCTCCTCAGCATATGCCGGTTTGAGCATTAATTGAGCCACATTAGTTTATAGTTACATTTTTCTAAAGGTTTAGTTGTGTTTTACTTTTTAATTTAGCATGAGTGTCCTTTCCTCAAACCTAAGTGGTCTGTTTTACTAAAGATCGACAACTTTGTTGAATCTATTCCATCTGTCAAATGCTAACTGACAATACTCCTGAATCACAATTATTGAAAAAGGCACAACTTGACTACACAGAATGCTTACCACCACTTACTGATCTTATTTTTGCTAATCTAAGGATGATTGATTGATATATTCTATAAATCAATCTGTGAACATGGGTCAGCTTGAAGCCTCTGAGATTAAAAGCAGAGTATGCTTCTCCCCACCTCACCCCCTGGAAGTAGGTTTATTGTTTTATCTGATTATAAAAGCAGGACAATAAAAGGGGAGAGAAAATGTAATACATTGTAAATTTAAGAAATTGTAAGTTTAGCAATTATAAATTTAAGCAATTCAGAAAAGTTGTTTTTTTAATTAAAAATCATCTAGAATCTTACCACTTACACATTATCATTATTATTAATATTTTGTTGTCTCTCCTTTCAGACGTTTTTCTCTGTATTTAGAAATACATAGATTGACCTCATTTTTAAAGTACTTATCATGCTATTGTTTGGTAACCAGCTTTTTTTCTTAGGAATATGTTGCAGACACCTTTGTGTAGCAGTATACAGTATAGTGAGGATTTTTTTGGCTACTGTTGTTCTCCTACTACCCCTCACTTCTCTCAGTTTCTAATTTTTATGATGAGAATTTTATTATAGCTCAGGACATAATCATAATTTTGTGAGGGTATGCATCACTTTAGTTTTTCAGTTAAAAAAATCATTGAATTGTAGTTACCCTTGCCAAAAGATAAAGAATGAAGCAATTACATATTCCCCTGAGACTGGTGAAATTTGTCCTATAAATTAACCGTTTAAGAAATTCACTCCAAAGGTCAGTTATTATCAGGTCTGTAACTGTGCTAAGGTTCAGCTGCACCTGGATACTACCGCTTCCTTATCTTTGATGAGAGGGTGGGGATTGAAGTGGGAAAGATCAAGAGTTTTCTTGAGAATAGCAGTTAGATGTGCACTATACACTTACTTTCCTATGTGACCTCCTCCCTAGTAGCCAATACAAAGTGGCAGGAGAAGCCAGCTCACATCACTGACATTGTGGTTACCACTTCTGGCTCACTGAAATCTAAGGTGTTACTCAGACGATTGGGGGATAATGTATGGCATTGCTGTAGAGTCAGATTTAAACATATGACACAAATTGAAGAGAAAAGCATTATTGCATTTGCATGTACAGGTAAGCAACCCTCCTATTCTCACAACCTCCAGAAATGAAGAACTATATCTCCTGTTTGATTACTCTCTAGATAGCTAAAGTAAACTTTGTAATATTGATGGGGTGACAGTCATATAATTTGAAATAATGTTTCAGGATGCAGTAAGTCAGTGTTACAGAGATCTCTGATTTTGGTTAAAATAATCTTTTCATGTTTTCTGTTGTTGAATTAAAACCCACTTTCTTCCAAAATATTTGGGCACACAATTTTTAAAAAACGCTGTAATCTTGGTTTCTGTACTATGCCCTTCATCTATCCAGGACTTGTACTGAATATAGAGTAATAATATAAAAGCACAGAAGAGTAGTAAGTTAACACTCACTGAGGCTTATTATGTTCCAGAATCTCTTCTAAGTCTCTACATATTTACTCATTAGAGAGGGAAGTGATATGGTCAACTAGTGCCATTATTTGTTTGATGCAACATTGCACTTAAACCTGATGTCATTCTGAATCTGATATGTATGAATTATTCCCAAGCATTAGAGCCCGTCAAGACCCAGAACTCAGCAATGTGACCTTTAATTGACCCAACTAGGACCTCTTCATCAGTTGGTAGGGTGCGCTACCAGTCATAGTGGTTTAAAAAATGGAAACGATTTAAAATGGTTTAAGAAATGAAAATTGTTTCATTATGTTCTGGGTTTTGGAACCAAGGGGGTTTGGGTACAAAAAGTTTCACAAAGAAAGTAATCAGAAGAGTTCAGACAGCGGGAAAGGTCCATGTGAAGAGAACAGATGAAAATAATAGTATGAGCAAACATGTCTCATCAAAATTTACAAAAAAGCAGTTTTCAAATTTCCATGCCTAATTATAAATACTAACGTTTGCATTTGTAGAAGCTCAGAATCTTAGAATTGGAAGATAACTTAAGGAATTATGTTTTGCAACTCCCCTCATTTTATAGTTGAGGAAGACCAAAGCTCAGAGAAATTAATTGATTTGCCCCAAATCTCACAATGAAATTGATAGTCGGCCTCTAATTTGATTACAGTGCTCTAAACTGTTGGGCTTATTAGGCTGGCCACCATGGAGGCTCTTTTAGCCTATCTTCTTTTTCTAGTAGGAGGTGTTGTCTTGCCCTCCTGGGCTTGAGACACGAAAGTCCTTGAATCTTTCTCATAGTGGCTCTTGTCCAGAGCACCAAGAATTCTGGGGCTTGGGCTCTTAGCCTCAGGCGGCCTGGCAGTTAGGCTCTGGATTTTCCTCTGGCTGCTGTTATCCTCGCTATCATTTGGGGTTGCTTGAACAAATCATTCCTCAAGAATCTGAGGGGAGAAAGTATCATTAAGCAAGTGCTTTCTTATATTTAAATACAGGAGATATCTAAACAGGTGAGCGCCTGTGGTAGTAAGGCACATAATGGGAAAAAGAAGACCAGATCATTCATGGTCTTGTTAAAGTACACGTGACTCATAGCCCTGTGGTCTTCCTAGAAATATTTGCAATTTTAAATGACGATGATACTTAAACACAACTCTCTCTTGTATAATTTTAAAAGTAAACATGTCAGGCAATGGGAAGAGATTTATGTGTGCATTGAGTAAGTTACCCTTGCCTGGGACACATTAAACTCCCCTAGGCTGTTCCTGCTTTTCATAATTTCTTACCTTCCTTGACTTGTTAACTCAAGGAAGTCCAAAGCTTTCTCCTTGATGGTTGTCATTGGCTATGAAGAAGTATTCTGCTCAAGTAATTATGAACATTTGGAAGTATAGGTCACTTATAAATTATGAACTTATAAGTACAGGTCTTCCTATATTCGCTAATGGCATTAAGAGAAAAAACATCAGAGAATAAAATATTTTTGTTACTTCTGTCTGGTCTGGAATTTCAGGGAGGTAAAGGAACACTGGTTATCCAGAGCCAGATCCGTTGTTAAAAGTTTATGCCATCATTTTGACATTGAATGTTGGACTTTCTCTTTGTAAATCCCTCTTCACTTTACCTGTGCTGGTCTCAGAGCTCAAACTGTTTCAAAACCATAACATTTCTTAGTGAGTGATTGATCTGTATTATGTGTCCAGCCATCAGGGGGATCTTGGGATGTTGCTTGTATAAACTGTAATCCAATCTGATGCTGTGCATTTAGTTACAGTCTTTCATAGACCTATTGGTGATACTCTATCCTCTAGGATTTGGGAATAGGGCTTATCTGATACCTTCAGGGGGAAAAAATCCATTCATTTTTCTCTCTTCCCCACTTAAATAACTCAACACATCTGGTAACACTGTAGGATCATTGTCCTTCCAGTTCCTCTGCAGCTCATATTGCTACAATATTTCTTAAGTATTTGGTTACCTAAAGGGCAATGTGATTTAAAAAAAAAAAAAGACTTTGTATAGGTCTTACAAATTAACCCATCTGCAAAGCTAGAAAAAAATATGCCTTTAATCAGCAAAATTTCCATATCAGCAGCTCTGTGTGTATTATGCAGTATGAATGTAAATATAAATTTGGAGATAAATACTCGTGTTAAAATTTTAAAGCAAGTCTTTCTACAAATTAATGTAATTTGCCTCTAAAAAAATGTTTATTAAATCCAGAGTACCTGATATTGAAGTATCTTGTTGTTTGAGTCTGTATCCTTTGGCTTAATAGTGTCTTCCATTACAAGAATGATAAAAGCTGAAACAAAATCCTTTAATTCAATCAAAACCGAGCTAAATTTTAGGAAGCAAAGAGTGGAAATCTGATACAGGACTGCATGATATAGAAAGCTAAGTATACAAGATATTAAGACTTCATAAGAAGTGGATGGGGTTGCCTTCAGGAATTATTGTTTGAAATGGCTGCATCAAACATTATAATAAATACCACTATTTTATCCTCCTGAATTAAGATGGTTTATACAAACAACTCTAAATTGTACAGTAGTTCCAAAGAGACCATTTACTGTTTTCTGCTTGTTTTACATTCTGGAACAAGTTCAAAGCTCTTGATTTTGCTTGATCATTTTTTTTAATAGCCTGAGACTTGAAAATAATACAGGTTTGATGAATATGATTTTAATATTGCAGTTCTATAAAAATGTTCACTGTTTATGGTACATTTGACCCAGAAGCCCTCCAGTGCATTTTTAGTATAACAGAATGAACACATTTGAAAGCTTAACCATTCTTTTGCTTTTGCTTTTGCTTTTATTTCTGTATTAAGTATGAAAATTAGCATTGTAATGGCTCCCAGAATGAGGATATTGAAAAAGTGTTCACCTAACAGGAATAAACATACAGAAAATAAATTGAGTTAAGATTTCATTAGTTATCTGAAATTTAAGCTTGTTTAAAATGGCTATTACTGGATTTTCATGTATATTAAATGCTACGCATACAAGACTTTTTTGGGTTTTTGGCTTGAATTAGGACTGAAAAAAATTGGATCACAGCTCTGATATCCAGGTGGGCAATGCTATTTGCCAGGATCTTTGCACATAACCCCGTTTTTTCCATCAAGCACAAATACCGCCTTTCTACTAAGCCCTCTGAGGTATTCTGAGGTAAAAATAGGGATAAACTTTTTAAACTGTTTATTTTAATTTTTGTTCTTGTTTTTTAGGTTGTGGAACTTCTAGCAAGTGCCCTTATGGACTTGGTACAAGGAGTATACCATGAAAATTCTACTTCAGCAAAGGTAAAGATTTGGTAACCATTATAAAATGTTAGGTTAAAAATGCTCGTGGCAAAACTAGGATTGATGAGCAAAAATGTCATTCTTGTTTTGTGTTTAAATTGTACATGACGTTTTTTTTAGATTAGTGTTTTGGCTACGAATTCATGGCCATACGCTTAGTACATAGCAGATTTAGCCAATTAAAACAACCTCTTATCCTCTGGCTGGATTCACAGTCTGTTCAATCTGCAGTAGCCCAGTAGACACCAGCATGCTGCTGGCTGGCAGGTAGCACTATCACAAAGCTGGCAGGCTGGAGGAGCAGCTCAGCCTGAGGTGGCCAGGCCCAGCCTCTCCCCAGAGCAAAGGGCCTTCAAGTGTCCCAGAAGAGTGGCCAGGATCCCAAGAAGATGACTGTTGGGCGTGTGAGGGAGGAATGTCTTTTATATCCAGGATCCAAAATTTACTGCATTATTACATTCTCTATGATAAGAAGTAGGATGGTTGCACAGCTGGATTATTTTGATTAATTTTATAGATCTAGAATTAGGGTTTTTTGACTCATTTAGCAGGACATCTCAAGAAGGGTTAGATTTTATTTCCTTAAAATGCACTTATTTCATTTCAGAAGGATATTGAATGTGAAGCTATTGCTTCATTGACCATCACCATCATTTAATGTGGTATATACTGTTATAAGGGACTCCTATCTCAGTGTTTCATTATTCTAACTTCTTTAGCTTCTATATTAGCAAGATTTCATTCACTGCAAATTAGAAAAAATATGCATGTGTGCACATCTTAAGCTTTTTGACATTTCCATTTGAAAAAAGAAAGACAAATTTTACTAGAAGTGAAACATAGGGCATGAGCAACTTGGATAAGAAACTTAAAATTTAAAAGTATAACCCAGGGACTCAGGATAGTTCAGAGAGTACTTAGTGAAATATGAAAAATTGTACATTGGACATCTGGTAACATTTGGTTCAGGGAATCACAGTTCCCGATAGGCATATCTAACTTCACCTAAGCAGCATAGTGGTATATAGGGACCTGGCAGAAGATGTGACCACAGTGGACCCCCTTTGCTGCATTTTTTCAGAAACATCCCATAGATCACTACCGTGGCTGAGGTTAATGGCAGATTGTAAAATGGAGGATCCTGGTCTAGTTCCACTTATAGAAAGTCACCTAGTATATAGTATGATGAAGATGATGATAGCTAAGCAAATAACACTGTGGTGAGTAATTGACCCATATTTCTTTGTTTAATCTTCACAGAAATCCTGCTAGCAAGTACTACTGCTGTCCCCATTTTACATATGTGAAAACTGAGATTTAGGAAAGATTAAGTAATTTGCCCATGAGCACACAAGTTGTTAGTTGAGATTTGAACTCTGGAGCTCAGGCTCTCACCCTCTCATTTACTGCCTCTATACCTCCAGGAAACCTGATTTGCTAGCATCCCTCTGCCATACCTGAGATCCCTCCAAATTGTGATGATTACAGTGACCTCTCCTGGCAGTTGTGACATTGTTCTCCCCTGGGGCATTTTCAAGGTGTTCATCTTTGTTCCATATAAGATTCTTTTTTCTTCTTCTCCCCAAAGCACACCCCCCGCTCCCCCGCCCCCAACCCCCCGTACATAGTTGTATATACTAGTTGTGAGCGCCTCTGGTTGTGCTATGTGGGATGCCGCCTCAGCATGGCCTAATGAGTGGTTCCATGTCCTCGCCCAGGATCCAAACCAGCAAAACCCTGGGCTGCCAAAGCGGAGCGCACAAACCCAACCCACTCAGCCATGGGGCCGGCCCCTGTTCCATATAAGATATTAATAATTCACAGTTAAATATCTGTTAATTTTTAAGTGAAAGTGTTATTGTTGGTTTTAAGGTTCTTGATTTATCTGCTCTTACTATTTGTCCACTATAATTAGCCCAGTTCATTAGTAATTTTGTGAACATTTGTTAAGTACTTTCTGTATGTCAGGCAGACCTAATAGCAACAACAATAATAAATACTTAGATAGCAGTTTAAGCTTGCTTATACTTTCTTTCTACACAATCACCTATGAAAAGGGTGGCATTTGTTGGTATACCCATTTTATAGAGGAAAAGCCTGCAATTCAGAGATGACAAACTGCAGGAAAGCATAGTGTCCGGAAATTGTTAATGCATGTTTGACATTGACATGATCTGAACCCAGGTTTTTTGACTTCAAGCCCCACATAATGTTTCTTCCTGGGAAAGAGAAAAAAGGAAGCAACAGTCTTTGAAGGACTGTTGATCATAGTGAACTGCTACTTAGCAAGCACTGCTTGCTGACTTTGATTAGCTAATAAGTTTACTCAAAAGCAAAGCTTTGTTCATCTGCCCTCTTTCCCCACCACCTCCCCAAACACGGTCCTTTAAAGCAGTTTTTTTAAGCAGTTACATTTCTAAATATAACCAAACCATTTAAAGAGCCTTTTTTTTTTTTTTTAATAAAGGAAGCAAAAATGCATAGTTGAACTGAAGCACTGGGAGTGCTTCTTGATGCCTCCATTTGTGCCCCAGGTCCAATTTAGGTTAACCACGTTTCCCGTCCTAACCAGAAAAAGTCTGGGTTTTTTTCCCCTCTGAGTATGCTTGCCATTAGAATGGCTTTTCAGATTTTGGTTGTTCTAACTAGGCCCAGGAAACACTTCAGAGGCAGAAAGAGCACCGCCCCACGTGGAGTGCCTTCAAGGTTTTCATGTTCTGGCATGATTAGGAAGCAGCCACAAGTGGAGGTCATGTGGGAAGTGAGTTGCACAACCTCCGTAGCCTTGGGCCAATTCAGTACACAAAAGAATTGCTTTGTGATTTAAAATAAGCTGCAAACCATTTCATCTCTCTAGGGATAAAAGGACACAATAGCGGTCTGTTTTCTATATGGCTACTTAATGCAGTGATGGAGAATCTGGGTAGCTTTCCGTGGGGTAATATCTGTGTGACTAGGGTAGACGCATTAAAGCAAATGAAGGGAAACTGGAACTGAATTCATTCCGCCAAATCTCCTTCTCCAGAAGAAGTTTGTAGATAATTATGTAATCCTCCTCAAAACTATGAAAATTTGTGTGACTTACGTTACATAACAAATTGTAGGTAAGTTGTGATCATGTAAACATTTAAAGTAACTTAGGAAATTCATCTTTTGTTCTATCCATTGAAAAATAACATTTTTATTTTTGTACTTGCTAGTTTGTGAACCATTTCTTCTTTCTAATAAAAATTAATCGTTGTGCTTTCTTTGGTGTTTATATTATCTGTCTTCCCTCTACCTGTTTTTTTTGTTAGCTAATTGAAGAAAGAAGCATATTAAATACAAAAATTACATTTTAAACAGTTGTTTACCATTCTAAGAGTTCCCCAGTCAAACTCTGCCTTATACATTTGTACTCATGTTACTCACTGTACGTACTAAATATTTTACATTTTAGCAAAATTGGCTTTGAATCCACAGACCTTTATATCTAAAATCTTTTAAATGTAATTATCTTACTATTTTAACTTGTTTTCTAGTTAGAAAAGCAAATACATGTTTATTAAATATAAACTGAAAGCCTAGGAAAAGGTCAAGAGGAAAATAAAAATTGTATAAATCATCCCCCAGAAATGAATCATGATTACATTTTAGTGTATTTCTTTCTAGGTTTCATTCTGTATTTCTCCCATTTTGGAGTTATTATTGTATATATATATATATATATTTTGTGCTGATTCACTCCCCAGGATAATCATTTTTGTTATTAAAAGTTTTCAAAACTATAATTTTAATGGCTATTTAATATTTCATTATACTACTGTACTATAATTTACTGAACCATTCCGCTATTTTTGGACACTTACCGTGTTTTCTTTCTTTTCTTTTTTTACTAATTTAAACAACATTGTGGTAAACATCTTAGTGTATATAACTTTGCTCTATTTCATAAGATAATTCAGTCAACTAGGAAGTTATGGATTATCTCCTGTCTGCAGAGCATTATGCCACTATCTAATAAAAAGATGAGTAAGATGAGTTTTACCCATTGAAAAACATAATAGAAGGGAAATGTAAACAAAAAGTCACATCTGGTTGGGAAAATCAGAAAAGACATTAACGAGAATTTGATATTTAAGTGGACATTTCAAGGATGAGAAATATCTATTGATGGAGAAGGATGGCATTCCAGGCTGAGGAAACAGCATGATCAAAAGTAGCAAAGCGTATTTAAGATCAGGGCTTCTTCCATGTAAGAAAAAAGGAGTAGTGAGAAGACTAGAAAGGTAGGTTTTGTCACATGTGTGCAGACTTATAATGCCAGAATGTAGAGCTCATACCATATTTAGTAATTGAGATAAGAGAGGGATTGAAGCTTTATAAAGAAAGGAATTATATAGGGGCTGGCCCCGTGGCCGAGCGGTTAAGTTCGCGCGCTCCGCTGCAGGCGGCCCACTGTTTCATTGCTTCGAATCCTGGGCGCGGACATGACACTGCTTGTCAAACCACGCTGAGGCAGCATCCCACATGCCACAACTAGAAGGACCCACAACAAAGAATATACAACTATGTACCGGGGGGCTTTGGGGAGAAAAAGGAAAAAATAAAATCTTTAAAAAAAAAAAAAAAGAAAAGAAAGGAATTATGTAATCAGATTAGCTTTTGGGAAAGTTAATTCAGCAGTGGTTTACAGGAGATTGAGGGGAAATGAAAACAGTTGGGAAGCCAAAATAATAGTGAAGGCCAAAGGTGCTCTTCTGCCACCTCGACATGGTTGGCTCCTTCTTGATAGTCATATCTCTGCATCAATTTCACCTTCTCAGAGAGACCCCACCCACCCACCCAGTCTGAAGTAGCCACACAACTGTGATTTTTAAAAAAGGCTCTTTAAATGGTTTGGTTATCTTAATCAGAGTTGTCACCATCTGATGTTCTTCTTCTTATTTATTTCCAGTCTCCTCCTATAGGAATGTAAACTCTATAGGAGGAGGGATTTTTTTTTTTTAACGCATTATATT